AGGGGGGAACTCGATGATCACGGGGGGCTTTTGGTCTACTGCTGGACCTCCCGCAGCCGCTGCCTCGACTGGTAGGAAGCTAACCAAATCGTATCGCGGGTATGGGCCGTCCCGCGCATGAGCACCGATGAACTTAGGGCGTGCCACGCGCTCGCCTTGCTCGAAGTCCACGGTGGAAGACACCAATCTCAATAACGTCGCTGCAAGACGAAGGTCGCCGTCAGCATGGACAAGAACTGAAGACTGGGGCCCAGCGAAAGAACCCAGCTCGGAGTCGGAGTACTCCAAGTCCCCGCCGTCGGTGCCCACCTGATATAGAGACGTCGGCCAGAGCGCGTGGTCATCGGACCCCCCAGGCTCGCGTCATCGGCCTGTTGGTCAGGTGCTGTAGTGACAGCGCCTCGCGTCATCGGGCCTGCCGTGCCAGCGCGGTATTTCGATCTTGTGGGGGACGGGGGCGTAGAAGGAGCCGCCGTCCGGTCAGTGGCGGTGGCCTTTGGGGCCTGCGTCTGGCCCTCGACGTTCCTGGTAGGCCCGCAGCGGCAGGTGCGCTCGAAGACGCAGACGTCCACCGTTGTGGGTGGGCACAAATCGGCCACGGTTGCGCGTAGGTCGCGCGCGCGGCAGTGCGACGCGACCGCGGCCTCGCTGCGCAGGCGCGGGCCATCGCGCCGTCGCGCGCCAGGGTTGCGTCGCCGCGGGGGGGGGGGGGGCGCTGCCCCGCGGCGCGTGCGCTTCGCAGGTGATTTGCAATTTGGAGGAGGCGCCGCGCGCGCGCGCCCGCGCGCGCGCGGCGGGTGCCTCCCTGGCGCGCTCTTTCTGTGTGTTGTGTGTGTGTTGTGTGTGTGTGTGTGTGTTGTGTGTGTGTGTTGTGTGTGTGTGTGTGTGTGTGTGTGTGTGTGTGTGTGTGTGTGTGTGTGTGTGTGTGTGTGTGTGTGTGTGTGTGTGTGTGCGTGCGTGCGTGCGTGCGTGCGTGCGTGCGTGCGTGCGTTTCGCGCGCGGGCGCGCGCGCGTGCCGCCGCTCCTTCGGCGAGCCGCCCTCCCTCTCGCGCAGGCTCCTCTCCCCCTTCTGCCCCGCGGATTGGCCGCAGGAAGGACCTGGGCCGCGCCCCGCGCTCGGGATTTGAGCGTGGGGCGCGCCGCGCGCGCGCGCCGCCGTTGTTCGCTGGTTCTTTCTCTCCCTCCCCCCCCCCCGTCCTCTTCTCCCTCCCCCTCTCTCCTGCGTGCCTGCCCTCTGTGCTCGTCCCTCGTGGCCCGCCCCCCCCTCCCGCTGCTCGCTTGCGCTCGTTGCCCCTCGTGGCTTGCTCGTGCGCCGTGGCTGCTCTTGCTGCTCGCTCGCCTGCGCGTTCGCGTGTTCGTTCGTCGCTGCGTTCTGTTTCGCTTCCGCCGTTGTCGTCGCCTTGTCGCCTTCGCGTTCGGTTGTCGTTGTTCCTCGCGTGGGGTCGTCCTGGCTTATGCTTGTCGGCGTGCCTGCTCGCTCGCTCGGCGTCGCGTTGCTTCGCGGTTCCCGTCGCCGTCGCCCCTGCGTGCCCCCTTTGCTTTCCCTTTTCCGCCGCCTGCTGCTTGTTGGCGCGTGGTGTGTTGCTTCTGCCTTCGTGCCTGGCGGCTGCCTGCTTGCCTGCCTGCTCCCTCGTCGTTTTGCCGGTGGCTCGTTTTTTGGGGGCGCTGGCCCTCGCCGGCGCGTGCCTCGTGGGCACCTCGCTCGCGTCGCCTCGGCCTTCTGGCCAGGCTGTGTGCTGGGCAGCGGCCCCGCTGGTCTGGGGCGTTCCCTCTGTCTTGTGCTGGTGCTGGCCCCAGGGCTCCCAGGGTGCGTGTCTTCCGTGTGGGGCTGAGCGCAGGCCCTTGTTCCTGGTCGCGGGTAGGGCGCAAGCCCCAGGACCCTGTTTCGTGACGGGGAGGGCGCAGGCACCGGGATCTCTGTCTTGGGTAAGGCGCAGGCCCCAGGACCCAATCGTGCGTGGTGGAGGGCGCGGGCCCCTGGATCCCTGTCTTGGGTAGGGCGCAGGCCCCAGGGCCCAATCGTGCTAGGGGGAGGGCGCAGGGCCCTGGATCCCTGTGTCGGGCAGGGCGCAGGCCCCAGGACCCCGTCTCGTGGCGCGCAGCCCTCATCCTGGGAAGGCCCCAGGGCCTTGTCTCGGGTTGGGCGCTGGCCTCAGGTTCCTTGTCTTGGGTAGGGCGCAGGCGCCAGGGCCCAATCGTGCGTGGGGGGGGGCGCAGGCCCCTGGATCCCTGTCTTGGGTAGGGCGCAGGCCCCTGGACCCAATCGTGCTAGGGGGAGGGCGCAGGCCCCTGGATCCCTGTGTCGGATAGGGCGCAGGCCCCAGGGCCCCGTCTGGCTGGGCACTGCTCTCATCTTGGGATGGCCCCGTGGCCCTGTCTCGGATTGGGCGCAGGCCTCAGGTCCCTGTCTTGGGTAAGGCGCAGGCCCCAGCTCCCAGTCGTGCGTGGGGGAGGGCGCAGGCTCCTGGATCCCTGTCCTGGGTAGGGCGCAGGCCCCAGGACTCAATCGGGCTAAGGGGGAGGGCGCAGGCCCAAGGATCACTGTGTCGGGTAGGGCGCAGGCCCCGGGACCCCGTCTGGGTGAGCTCAGGCTTCTTCGTGGGAGTGCCCCTGGGCCTTCTCTTGGGTTCGGCGCTGGCCCTTGGTCCTTGTCTCGGTTGTGGGTGTTATCCCCATCTCGTGTGGGGCGCTGGCCCTGGTGGCCACGTCTTGGGGGTCTTGCGCCGTCTCTGTCCTGTGCGCGCTCGCGCGGGCAGCTCGCCAAGTTCGCGCGCCCTAGCAGTCTCGCGCCGCGCGGCACCGCCTTTCGCGCTGGGCGGCCTCGGCAGTTTTCTTGGCGCCTTGGACGGCGCGTCGGCGCGCGACGCCAGTTGGCTCGAAGCCACGGTGGCCGCGCTCAAGGGCCAGGGGGTGGCGACGATCGCCGATTTAGCGGGCGCGGCATTCGAGGATTTCTCTCTTGCTGACAAGGAGCTGGACGCCGCGCAGAAGCGCCTCGTGCGCGCGGGGATCGCCGCGGCGAGCACGCCGGCGCCGGTGGCTGGGGGCTCGGCGGCGGCCGCCCTTCCAGCGCCCTCGGCGGCGGAGAAGGCGGCCGCCCTCTTGGCCGCGCTCAAGACGGGCACCGACGAGACGCAAGCGGTCTCGCCGCGATTTCGGGCTCGCGCGGCCCCGCGCAGCGCTTTCGCAGGAGAAGCCGGTCCGCGTACTTTTGGGCCCTATCCTCGGCGAGGCGTCGCTGGCCAACCTCCCGCAAGAGGTCTGGCCCAGGCGCGTTCGCGCGCGCGCTGGCTTTGGCGTTTCGTGCCGTGCGCCGGTAGCTCCGACTTGCTTGACGCGTTGAACGCGGAAGTCGTGAAGCGGCAGATAAAGGAATCCTGCGAGGAGGCGCGCGTATTCCTGTATGCGGACATCCGCAAGTGGGTGCCCGATTGGGCCCGCTCGGGCCCTCGCGACGTCGAGGATGAGGCCGACGCGTCGAGCAACGCCAGCAAAGATATTCGGGACCTCGCCAAGGCTCGTTACCCGTGCGCGTCGCTGGCTCTGCCTCGCCCGCGCACGGGCGCTCGTCCCGCAGGAAGCTGCGGCGGCGAAGAAGGGGCCCGAGCAGAAGGCCTTCTTGACCCTATGCCAATGGCAACTGGCGTGGGACCGGTGCCATCAGCCCCGTCGCGCGCCCCCCGCGCGTGCCCGTAATCGCGCCGAGCGCGGCAGGTTCGCGATCGCGCTCGTCGCCACGGGGCAGCTCACGCTGGCTGAGACGGTCGAGCATCGCGGCAACTGCTTGAAGATTGCAGTTCAGGCCGCACGCGCCCGCGTTCGTGCCTGCGCGGCGCCCTGCGTTCGTGCCGGCGCGGCGCAGCTATGGGCCGAGCAGCTGCGCTCGGGGGGCCCAGATTTCAAGTTGGGGAAAGCGATCCTGCGGGTCGACCCGCGCGCCCTTCAGCTGGCGCGGGATGCTTACGACAAGGAAGACGGCGCCTCCCACGCGACGGCGAGCGTCGCGCCGCGCGGCTTTGCTGTTCCCCCCCTTCTCCGCCGTTTCCGCGCGTGCAAGCGCAAGCGGCCCGCGCTTCCGAGAAGGGGCGCGGGGCGGGCGGCGCCGGCCAGTCGTGGCGCCCCGCGCAGAACTGGAGCAGCGGTTCCTGGGACGCGTGGCCGAAAGGACAGAAGCTCGAGCGCTCGTGGGGCGGCGATTGGCGGAGAAATGACGCGCGGAAGCGAAGGGCGCCGCCGCGCCCGGCGAAGGGCTGAGCGCCGATCCCGCCAGGCGCGCGCGAGCCCCCGAAGTGGTGGAGCCCTTGAGCCGTCAAAACGGCTCGCGCGCTAAGCCTGTTTCCGCCCGCGCCGTGTCTGGGCCGCGACCCGGGCGCGCACGCGCGTTCTACGCTGTGGCGCCAAAATTGGCCCGTGCGCTCTGCGCATGCCTTCGCGCGTGCGGGGACATGCCGCGTGCGTTTTTGCCGCGGGGGTCGCCTCGCCTTGCCGGGCCGCGCTGCGTGTGCGAGGCCTGGCCGTGGCCGTGGCCAGCCAAGACGGGGCGTGCGGGGGAGTTCCGCGGGGCAGCGCGTGGGCGGTTTTGCAACGCTTTGGCGCCTTTCCACGTCCGCTGTTTGCAATCGTGCGCGATGCCGGCCGTGCCGGCGCCGCCCCCGCCGCCGCCCGCATCTGGCGCTCGGAAGCGGGCGGCGCCTGGGGCTGCAAGCGTCGTCGTCAAGTCTCGCAAGGCGCGCGTTGTCCCTGCGCTCGGTCGCGGGCGCGCCGGCGGCGCGTGTCAGGTGATGCCGGCGCCGCCAGCGCCGCCGGGGCCGCAGTTCGGGAGCGATTGGTCTCGGCGTTGCAGCGACAGCGCGTGGCGCGACATCTGCGTCGCCGCCGGCAGCAGTAGCGGCGGCGACGCGGAAAAACTCACCTTCTGGCAAGGGCGCTGGACGGCAACCCCGCGCTCTGGGGCAAGTGGCGCCCCGCCGCGGCCTCGGCTCTGCCGCCCACGGCCGCAGGGGCAGTGCGGTGGGCTGCGCAGACCGCCCCCGCCGACGTGGTGGCATTCCGCGAGCGCGCGCTCGCGGCACTTCGCGAGAGGGATCGGGCTCTTCGGGCCCGTGGCGCCGTGGAAGAATGGTTCCAAGGCGTGGACCCCGCCATGCAGCGCGTCGCACAGCACGTGAACGGGCCTCTCTGCGCAGAAATCGCGGAGCGCATTGCCTCTGCGACCCAGGCTGCGTAGAGTTCTTCAGGGCGGGGGCGCCCCTCGCCGGCGAGCTCCCGCGGTCGGGCCACGGCAGCCAAGAAGTGTTTCCACCCCGTCTGGGCATCGCGGAGCTGCTGGGCAACGCCGAGTCCGCGAATCGCGACGTTTCCTCCGGTCTCCGCGACGGCGCGCACGGCGATGCCATCCTTCGCAAGACAAGGGACGAGTCCGCGCTGGGGCGCATCTGCTGCCCGGTGCCGCTCCGTGACGTGTGCTTGGAAGGGGTCGTCGTAGCTCCGAGGTTTGCGGTTGAGAAGTTGCGCGAAGACGGGTCCTTGAAACTCCGGTTGGTCGACGACATGACCAAGGCAAGGCTTAACGAGGCGACGCGCCCTCAGGAACGGCTCCACCACGACGCCGTGGACGCGCCCTTCGAGGCAGCTCGCATCTTCCAGGAAGTCGCGGGGCGGGCACCCGCCCTCTGGAAGGCAGACATCGACGCTGCCTTTCGTCGCGTGCCCATTCGCGCTGAGCACCGCCGGTTCGCCTGGATCGTTTTCAGCGCCGCCGGGCAGGTCTGTGCGGCGCAGCACGCGGCAGCGCCCTTCGGGGCCACGTCATCGGTGCACAGCTGGGCGCGAGTGGGCGCCTTCATCGCGGAAGCGGCGCGCGTGCTCTTGCGGATCACCGCACTGCGATACGTGGATGACTATTTCGGGCCGGATCACCCCGAAGTGGTGGAACAGGCGGCAGCGCAGCAGGCGGAGCTAATTCAGCTGATGCTCGGCTCGGGCGCGGTGGCGCCGGACAAAATCGCCTGGGGGTCTCCGCTGGTCATCCTCGGCCTCGAAATCAAGGCGGGGCGGCCAGGGCGCGACGCGTCGGCCGGCCGGTTGCGCGCATCGCCAGGTGCTGCCACGCGCTTTCTGCGCGCGGCCCGCACCCGCCAAGACCGCCGAGTGGCCGCGTGTCATCGGCGAAGCGCTCGCGACGCGCGCCCTTGCGCCAGGCTGATCGCGCGTCCCCCCAAAGTGTTTCGGGACTTTGTGTTTGCTGTGCAGGTGCATCGTCCAAGCTGGCCGGGGGCCTGGCTTGGGCAGCGTCGCATCTCTTCCGCCGCCTGGGGCGCGCTCTGCTCAGGCGCGGCGCTGCGCCCGCGCGCCCGGAGGGGGGCGGGGCGCCGCGCCCCGTGCTCGCAGGCCGTTGTGCGCGCAATCGCATCGCGGGGCATCGAAGGCACATGAGCCGTTGATGCTAGCTAGCCCTGCAGTGGTGGCGCGAGGTTCTGGCCATTGTGCCAGGCGCGTTCATGGGCCGACAAGGCGCGGCCCCGCGCAATCCTCTTCGCGGGCGCGTCGGGCCCACCACCGTGCGTGGCCGCGGTGCTCGTCGCCGCCTCGGGCATCCGGTTCACTTCTATGCGCGTCCCGGAGTCCTTGATGGCGGTGTTCGAGCGTCGCCGTGACAACCAGATTCAGGGGCTGGAACTCCTGTCCATCGCGCTGGGCATGTGCACCTTTGCAGGCACTGCATTCGCGCGCGTCTGCCCGCGCCGGCGGGCAGTTCCGGCCCCCCGTCCTCGTTCGCTCAGGGGAATTGCAAGGTTGCGATTTGCATATTTACAGCGACAATACCGGCGCGGAGTCGTGCCTGCGGAAGGGCGCCGCGAAATCCTTCGACCAGTCGTGCATCGTCCACTCCATGTGGAGGCGCGCGGTGGAGCTCGACGGCGACCTCGCCGTGTTTCGCGTGCCCACTGCTGAGAATCTCGCCGATCTGGCTATGCTGCAACCATGCGCGCGGTCGCTCCCAAGCGTGAGAAGCGGCCTCAAGTGTTGGTAAGCCTTCTGCGTCAGAGTGCTGAAATACCCGTGCATGCAGCTCCCGCCAGCCAGCGCGGACCTGGTCGCCTGGGGCGCCCTCTTTCGCTGCGGGGAGACGTACGCAAATTACTGCAGCTACGTCAAAGTCGGTTGCCTCCTGTCTTGGGTTTGCGTCGCCGTGTTCGACCGCCCCGAGGTCAAGCGTGCGCGCGCCGCCGTCCGGGCGCGGGCCGATTGGACTGCGCGCCCCCTCTTGTTCATCAGAAAATGCGCAGTCGCCGCGCTGGTCGAGTTGGGCGCGCGCCGCCCCGAGTGGCTCTGCGCTTCGATGCTTTCCTTTTCGCCTACACGTTTCTGTTGAGGGTTCCCAGCGAGGCGTTGCCGGCCGTGCGCGTGGCCGACGCCGGCGACGCGCCATGCCTTCAGGCGGCGCTCGTGCTTGGCGAAGCGGAGCTCACGCTGCTGCTGCGGCGGCGGAAAAACCGGGCGCAGGGCAGTCGCCTGACGCGGAGGTGCTGGTGCGCATCGTGCCGCGCCACGTGCCCCGTGCACGCCCTGGGCCCCTGGGTGGCGCGATGCGGCCTGGGCCGCGGGCTCTTCGGGGGCATCTCGGCGGCTGCTGCGCTGCGGACCCTGCGCGAGAGGCTCGCTGCCCTCGGTGTCCAGGGGGCAGACCTGTTTCGGTTGCATGACCTCCGCAGGGGCCACGCCAAGGACCTGCAGGAGGCAAGCGCGACGCTTGCCGAGATTCTCGCGGCCGGGGAGTGGCGGTCCTGCGCCTTCATGGCGTATCTCGACCGTGACGATCTGGAAAGGGACGCGGTCGTGGAGGCGGGGCCACGCGCCCTCCGCCCGCGCCGCGTCGCATTGTACGCGCCAGGCGCACATGCTGGCGTCTGAAGCGGACGAGGACGCCAGTTAGGCGCCGGTGGCCAGCGCACCACGTTCCGCTCCTTGCGTGTGGGCGTGTGCGCGCGACGGCGCCCGTGCTCTGCCCCCGCGCGATCGGCAGCGGGTGTGTGCGCGCGTTGCCGGCCCGTGTCGCCAGCGTGCCGTGTGGCTTTGGGTCTGCACGCAGGCGTGGCGCGAGGCCGCCCATGCGGCGGTGCGTCGGGCCTGGGCCCGTCGCAGCCGCCCACGGGGGGCAGCCTCGCGCCGCGCCGCTCCCACCGACGGCGGCAGCAGGCGGGGTCGAGGCCCTGCGCGCGCGTCTCGATTTGTGGTAGGCCCACAGCGGCAGGTGCGCTCGAAGACGCAGTCGTCCACCGTTGTGGGCGGGCACAAATCGGCCACGGTTGCGCGTAGGTCGCGCGCGCGGCAGTGCGACGCGACCACGGCCTCGCTGCTCAGGCGCGGGCCATCGCGCCGTCGCGCGCCAGGGTTGCGTCGCCGCGGGCGGTAGTCTCGCTTTGGTCGACCCAGCAAGCCTTCGGTGTCCGGGTCGACCACGAACGACGGCGAGGCCAACTCAGACCGCCCGCCAGGAAGAAGCCGACGAGCCTTGCCCTCTTCCACCTCCACGTGATCGTGGTACCGAAGACGCAGGTCGTCGAACGTGCCCATGGGGAAGCTCAGGGGAGAGGCTGCGCCACCTTGGGTTAGCATCAGCGCGCAGCTTGATGTCGGCCACGAAGTCCTTGACTCGCAATGGGTTGCAGCCAGGCAGCCACAAGCAAGCAGTGAAAACCCGCGCGACCTTCGTCAGGAAGCTCTGGCGCTGCTTCCGCAAAAGCTGGGGGCCCAGGAGCGACGCTGCTTGCTTCTCGGCCACTGGCGACTCCTGGTCAGGCCGCTGTGCCTCAGGATTGTGCTTCTTCTTGTCCTCCTCGGCTTCTTTCACGAGGTCGGGGAAGAGCTCCTCGTGGCGGGCCTTCTTCCCGCTACGCCTTGAACTCAGCCTCCGTTCAACCTGCGCCGGGGCCTCTCCGAACTGAGCTGTTGGGCGGCCCTTCGTAATCCTGGTGAGCCTGGTGCTGGGCCTGGTGCTTCTGGTAGATCTCGGCAGCACGCCTGGACTCCTCCTTGCCAAGTGTCGTAAGTGCCTCGACGTCGTGCTGCGTTGCCTCGCGAACGCTGCGGAGGCGAAATCCAAATCCAAAATAAACGCGCACGTTTGCGATCGGATCCGCGTTGAAAGAGCCGTTCTTGACCGCCATGGGGCCCTCGATCTGGATGCCATCAGGAATGTCAGGGCCAGGTTCGATCCAGAGGCTGCTTGACCTTGCCTCTAGCGGCGGACGCACCGCAATCGTCCTGATGATGCTCTTGCCAAGCGGCGTCTCCACTACCTTGAGATCCGAGACGCGCAGGGAAGTGTGCGTGGCGGGGTCGTCGTTCTCGCAAGGGAAGACCGTCGGGGGGCGAATTCCGGGCGATCGAAACTCGATCTGGTCTTTGCCCAAGGCATAACCGCCCTTGTTTAATTTTTGCTTCCCAATCGGCAAGTCCTCCGTGCAGTCGTTCACGACAAGAAACCCAATCCAAAATCGTCTCGGCCTTCGCTGCGCCATCCTCGCGGAAACTGGCCTCGAACGTCACTGGCCGGTTGGCAATCGCCGTCTGGCCTTTCCCCGAAGACGTGCAAATGATAGGCGGGCTCTGCTCCGCGTCCTTGACGATGTCGGTCGTCTTCGGCTCCCCGAGCAGCGCTTCCAAGAGGTCGCGGGTGATGGAGTTCCGACTTTCACCAGTGTTGAAGACGCTCTCGGCGCGAGCGAGTCCGATCCGCGTAAAGCCTCTGCAGTTGTAGCCGCCAGAGAAGTTCAAAACGCATTGCGATGAAAGTTCAGCGCGCCTGCCCTGCGCGCGAACTCGTGATTGACAGCAGTGGATATCAACAGAAGCTTTGATTGCATTATTCACGTAGGCCTCGCGCTCCGAAGTCGACGATGCCCACGAAGGCTGACAGCGCAGGGGGGCCCATCAGGAGCATGGTGAATTTGCAGAGGTAGTGCCACACTTGGCTCATGGCGCGCACCTGCCAGCCGCGTGCCGGCCGCGGCTCCCAAGTCGGAGTCGAACTCGTGGCAACCGTCTAACTTGATGTGCGATCCCCCAGGCTTTGCCTCGCCCGAAGTCTCGCCGTCGGTGTCCATCACCATGAGAGACGCGAGCAGCTTGGAAGCGCGGTCGGTGCGCTCCTGCTGGTCGGTGGCGTGGCTGCCGTCGAAAATGCGCATGCGAGCATGGCCGTCGCCGCGGCCTGCTTTCGGATTGCCCCCGCCCCCGCGGCCCTCGCCACCGCCCTTCTCCTCCTCCTTCTTTGAGGAGCCCCTCGGCCTCCTTCGCGCCCTTCTCTGTCTAGCAGAGCGCGTGGTGGCGGCCGCAGAGCCCGAAGCCGCCGCAAGGCTTTGCCTTGTCCTGGTGCTTGTACCAACATGGGGTACCGTCTATGACGCGCTTCGAGACGTCGAAGCCCTGCTCCTCGCCAGCTTTCTGGTTCGGGCACATTGGGCACTCTGGGCGGGCGCCCGTGCACCGGCTGCAGTCGCCATTGTCTGCTCGCAAGTTCGCGTCGCCCAAGGGGCGCCCCCCTGTCGGGCTCGGCGCGCCCAATCTGCTCTAGCTTCTTGGCCTCCTTCTTTGCTGCCGCCTTCGCCTTCGGATCCTTGGGGTCCACCGCGGCATTGGTC